AATGCCTGCTTATGCTAGGCCTGGAGAATAGACTTAGGGAGCAGGGATCCAGAGTTTGTCTTCCTCTGTGCCACGCTCTCCATCCTGCAGTTTTGTGAACTTCATGGGCCATTTCCCCATCTTTACAGTGCAAGCATATCCGATCACTTTGGGAAATAATTCAGGATAGGGCAGGAGTAGGCCACAGACTCCTTCTGGAGGCATATGAGGATTAAAAATCACAGCCGCAATCAAGTACATGATGAGCTGTACATACTGTTTGTCCCCAAAATATAGGTGGCTCCTATCAGTTCATTCCCACACGCCATGGCTGTTTATGCCATGGGATTGTGTGACTGGAGGCTGGGTGCACCTTCCCTTTGCAACTGGCTGCAAATCCGCACCATAAGAGAGTTGCATTTGGTCCTGTGCTGGATGCACAGAGTTGGGACTGCAGGAATAAGGGGTGCCGCAGAGCAGGCAGCAGGTTGGATGAATTGTTTGAGATGGTTGGATACATCCCCTGGACTGCAAGTCAGGCATCCCTGCTTTAAGAAATGCTGCACGCTTTATAAATGGCACACTCTGTCAGTGACTGCCTGCAAATCCCATGCTGTATCCCAGTTTTAGATCCCTAGTAATTTCTCAACTAGTGTGCTTATTTATAGCTGGATATAAACTGTAGAACTGATGCTCATGACTCTAGTCATTAATTGAGGTGGATTTCCATGCAAATGGACTGCCATAGATGAGTTTCAATAGGCAGTGATGGGAACAGGACAAGTATTTGGGAAGGCGTGGAGATCAGGAGAGCGCTGAAATGTGCAGTGAAATCGCTAGCTGAAAGCTAAAGTAGAAAGCTGGGACAACAGAAGACTTCATCATGTGGTCATGCAGAGTAAGGAGTGTCCTGGGACCACCGTCACACGCTGGACAACTCCATTCTCTGCAGCTGAATGACAGAGGCTGTAGGAATATTTACTAATGTAAATTTATGAGCACACAGGACTGATAGCTGCTGTCACCTTCCCTCTCCTTCCATCTCCCCATCCTGTTGCTGACAAATGCAAAGCCCTTCCAGGTGAGTGCAGTAAGCAGGGAATGGAGGCAAAGGTGGATATCGGGCAATCTGGAATGCAAGTCAACTTGCGAGAAGCTCCCTGTGAAGTGCTCATCCTGCAGACTCCCAAGGCGATGGGACAAGTACTCAGTGTTACTGGAATCCCTCTTAGGGCAGATGCAAGGGAATAAAAAGACCCTTCTGTTAACATCAGAGAGGAGCTGAAATCAAAGGCATGAACACCCTTGGCGTGTTCCTCTGAAACCAACTCTAGATACTTCTTATTTCTCACTCTCTTTCAGATTGCATGTAAATACTCTTGCTGATGGGAGGCATTCCGATGATTCATATGTTTATAAGAAAGTTTTGACCCCTTTCCCTCGCTTTCCAGCTCAGGCTAATGCTTGTATAGTGCTTTCTCACTGCAGTATTTGATGATCTGTTTCCTGCTCAAGTTAATCCCAGTAAAAAGGTGGTGTATGGCCCTGAAAGCAAGGGGCTGGCCACTGATATGGCTTTCTTTCCTGTGCTCTGCACCCACAGATTTCCAGGAGCCGGCTGTTGCCCCGAAAAGGAGCTGCCCTGGCCAGCACCCTGTGACGAGCTTTGCTCCCAGGCTCTGACCAAGTGGGGCTGCATTTATTTTTTCACATCCTGGATTCAGGCAGACCCACCTGCATGTTAGAGCACAAATATAACTAGACATGACGCAGCCAATGTACTCCCGTGGCTACAGACGCTAGTATCCCTTAGCCACAGTCGAAGGACAGACCTTAGACTGGAGATTTATCCTCACTGCATGAGCAAGCAGTGTGGAGAGGACTCAAACACACCGCCAAACTGGATGAGGCACCAAAGTCCAACAGTTTGGAGCAGTAGCCCCAAAACACAGCCTTACTCCCACGCCATGGCAATGGGACCATTGCCTGAAGCAGGAACATGAGATTGGTCCTTCTGAATCAAGCCAAAGACCGATCTAGACAGGCAGTTTGTCCCTTGATGATGGCGACTGATAGAGGCTTAGAAGAAAGTACAAAGGGGCATTCATATGCCGTCATATTCACCTTGTTATGCCATTCCAGATTCTGGCAATCTGTAGCAATTTGCCTCAAAATACTGATCAAGAAGTTTCTAAGGGTAGGCAAAATCAGCATTCTCCCATGGTATTTTCCACTGAGAGAGACTTGGGGTAAAAAATTGCTATGCAGTCTAATATATACATTTGAAAATGACACTTTTTCCTTTTACACTGGAGTTGAACAGCCTGCGTCTTGCAGGTGAAATGGCAAATTCTGCTACTCCCATAGCTGAGTTGAGGAACTGTATAGTAGATATAACTGATTAACTTATTTTAATTTACATAGCATACTGTATTTAATGTTTTTCCTAATTATATGCCAAGAGACCAAAGCAGTTAACTTCAAGAGTTCCATGAATTTCCGTGCGCTTTTCAACTTTTGGCATGAATATCATTAACTTTTATTAACATAATTAATACTAGTGGCAAAAAAAGACTGCTATCATTTCTCTCTTGTGTTTTGGATATGAATGCCGATCACTATACTCTAACCACAAGCAACAAATCAGAAGTTGATAGATGGATTTGCCTTTTCTAGCAGCTAACAGGGACAGCCTTTAAATTTACTTGGGAGGAAGAATTGATGGCATAGAAAGCTGACTTTGGAGGCTGATGATTTTATTTCATTTTGAGAGGAGAGTTAATAAATCTTCATGCTGCTCTGATTAATGATTCAGGAGAGCATCTCTCCCGATTCTCGGAAACATTCCTGAAAAGGAATAGTGAGCTGCTCAGGGAAGCAAATAACAAATGAAAAGCTGTCAGATAAATTCATCTCAGAGCAAGTGCAGGACCAGCCAGGCCCCTCCCTTTGCAATCAGAGGGGTCATTAACTGAGCACAATTCAAGGTCACAATCTGCAAAAGGTGATTCGACCGGTGGTTAGAAAAGTAACATGGGATATAAGGAGCACTGCTTTCGTTCCTGCCTCCGCCACAGCCTCTGCATGTCCTTGGCCAGTTCACTTAGGACAAGCTTGCACCGGTGGGTGCAGAAACAGCCCTTTCAACTCCAAGTTTGTCTAGGAAGCCCCCTGCCCATTCCCAAGGTAGGCCCTGGGAATCCTCACTGCCCGTAGTAATCCTTACTGGCATTGATAACCGTGGCATAGATCTTGAAACCTAGCCGGTACCCAACGAGAAAGGGATGAGTTGAGACAAAACCAATGCAGCAAGAGCCTTGAGGCTTGTTCCTTTCCCTGAGCAAGGAAACTCACTTCCTGCATGCCCTGGGGAGCACTGCTCCTCCCTCTCCAACCATCTTACTTTTCTTGCACCTTCTCTCTTTAAAAGGATTTTATTCTAATGATTTGTTAATGAACTCCTTTATCTGATTTCAAGGCAGCTCTCTTTCGGATTGATGACACCGGCGGTGAACGGGCCAATCGCCGCACCGGTTGCATCTAATTCGGGACATGCGTCCCTGGCACACCTCCACTGTATCGGTTGCAAAGACGGAGCCTGAGGCTGCTCTGTGCTGTGCTAGCCTCTGCTTGCTGGAGCAAAACTTGCCTCACCTGTGGGACCACAGCGAGCCAGGCTAAAGCGGCCTGGAGAAGACAGACAACCATGTTGTTCATTTGTGGTGTGGGCAATCGGACTGAGATGTCATGCAGCCTAGTAAGGATAGAGCCTAATGATGCCTTTCCTACAAGGGGCTTATTTCAGGGCCCGAGGTCCTGTGCAAAAGCCTCTGAACCCCCAGGAACTACCGCAGATTCCTGGCACGTTTCACTGATTAGGTCAAGCAGCTTTGGGCCAACGTAGAAATGTGAAATGGCCATGCGTTTGATGGACTGGGCTAAGCAAGCTGAAAAGCCAGCTGCTATGTAACGCCAGGAGGTCTAGGGGAAATTTTGGAGGCTATAATTTTCAACTGAAAAACCACTGAAAGAAACCAAAAAAAAAAAGTCCAAAATGTTTTGCTTCAGCCTTTTTCTAAACGGAAGAGTCCAATAGCTTTAAGAATGTTTTATTTAAAATGTTTTTACATGTTGTATTTGAAAAGTACAGAGCTCTTTAAGGTGATTAGGAAGCAGTGTGATCATGAGTGGAGAAAGACTTATCTGGGGTTCAATGAGTCATTTCATTCAATCTGGAAAGAAGGCTTGCTTGGAAGTGTTTGCAACTTTCCAGCCAATACACCAGGCAATCTAGTAAAAAAATCAAACTGTAATAGTCAAAAGACCCCATGCCTTCTTACCAATGCAATTGTTAGAAGCAAATATAAATGTGGAAAGGAGCTGAAAAAAGATTGTCCCCTCCTGCTTTACTACTGGGAAACATGCCCACCGGCTGCCCAACAAAACCGTTGTGTTCCTGACAGCCCCGTCCTCAGCCCTGTGCTTAGCCTGAGCCCGATCAATCTTTCTGCCCCTGATCAATGAATACAAAAAGCACCTGCTAAAAATATTGCGACTGGGAAGCGTGATGAAGGAGAGAATAGAAACACCATTTCTGCTCGCAGCCAGCTTCTTTGAGCGCTAGTGGCATTAGCGCTTTGCCTGTATTATTGATTTTGATTTTATTATTTGGTGGGCTGGGAGGAGCCCCGGAATAGATCTCCGACTAGCCTATTTTTAGGAGGCAGCATGATCGCAGGCGCTGCAGCGACCGCTCAGCTTTGGCAAGCTGCTCTGCCGTCCTCTCCCGCAGTCGTTCCCCGGCTGTGATTCTCCTTGGCTAAACTACAGGTAGTCACCAAAGCATCCGAATTTGAGGGATTTTGCCCACAGGCTGTGCTGCTTGTGCTAAAAAAGAAAGCAAGCGAGAGAAGCAATCCATCCACGTTAAGGTCAGGGAGAGCCGTTCTCATCAGCTGAGCGCTCAGGGCTGATACGGTGATGTGCAGCAACGTAAAGCCTGGAGACTGATAGCCGCCGAAATGCCAGCCAGCGATGGCCAGGCCCTCGCAACTGATAACGCAGCCCCTCGCTGCAGACGTTGTGCGGAGTCACGCGCGCTGCGCAAATCTGCAGGCAGACGCCGCCTGGACGTGCCTGAGAAAAGATGCCGTTCAGCCAGGGTCCTCACGGGCACCCATTTTCCCCCGGTCAGGCGCCACGGGATCAGGGCGATCCGTTTCTCGACCTACGCGGGGTCTCCCCGCTCTCACGCGCGCGGTCCCTCTGCACCGCCAGGAATAGGTACGGAGCAGAGCCGGCGCCGCTGGTCGCGTGCCAGTTGCCATGGAAATGCAGAGCAATGTCTTCTAGAAGTTTTCCTGGAAGGGGGAATCGTTGGGAGCGATTGGAGGGGGAGATCTAAGGCAAAGAGATGAAATCAAGTGTCTGGGGAGTGACCTGTCAACAGTGCGTTGTCTCCAGTGACCTTCCCAGGAGCAACCGCTGCTCCGTCGTATGCCGCCGTCCTCCCCGGTTAACTCCTTTGCAGGCTTCCATGAGTTTTGGATGCTGCTCCCTTCTCTGACTCAGAGGCCTGGTTGAGGGACGTTTGAGGGCCATTTATAAAGAATCTGGGCTTTGGTGTTGGCTCTTGGCATTTTTCCAGTGGGTGGAAGTACAAAGGAGCTGCTCTGCTTCCAGAAGACGGGAAGCACTGAAGGTAATTCGGTGGTTCACATCTGGCACAGGTTGGTGCAAGCGGCACGTGAGTGCCCAACAGGGCACCTTGGGAGCCGTGTGTGTAGGCAGGGCAGCCACCCCGTCGGGTGTCCGCCTCCGTCCCTGCCCCTCGCACCATGGGCACTGTGCAGCACCATTTCCCATGTGGCTTCTTGAAAATATCCAACTCCACCTGCTGCTCAGCAGTGTCTACCGAGCAAGCCTGAGCCACAAGCTGAAAAATCGAGGGGTACTGACTGGTGATAACAGACCAAAACGCTAGGGAGCAAGGAGATGCAAGCAGCACACCTGAGGATCTCACTGCTGCCACAGTGACACGGGGAGAAGGTGTTTTCTTTTCTCAGGTTTCCAGAATAAAAAGGCTTCTGAATCATAGAAATGTCTTCCTGAATATTCAGGACTGGTGGATCAGATTCTACAGAGCCACTTTCTCACCTGTGAGAAAAGCTGTTGGAAGATGTTAGCATTACCGGCAGGGAGTCCTTTTGAAGAATTTCCCAGCTTCACCCGTCACCACGGAGAGATTTTGATCACCAGGAGAAATGAATTCATAAACCAGCAGGCTCCATGTGAGCAGCATGCAGATTTAGCACATGCATGCAGCTCTGCCTGGAGGCTCTTCCGAAACTGCAGACTTGGAGGCAGTAGAGAAGTGCTCATGAAGGCGAGCACAGAGGCGAGTGCCAGACACCTTCGCTCAATACCGGGGAAGGAAGGGGGGAATGCCGGAGACGCAGCTTCTGGCTTGAAACACTTCGATTTCCAGCTCCATGGCTTGGGCCAGCCCCATGCATCCAGCTCTAACGCAGCATGGGGCATGCAACAAACCTGACAGCTGTCATCTTCCAAACAAACAGAAAGAGAGATTTCTTCACCAAACATGTAGCTCATCTCTGAGCTGAGGGTTCAAAAAGCAATTGGACAAATTCATGGGGAAAAATCTGCTGGAGACTAGATTTAAATATAGGGCATCACGTCCGACTCAGACCCGTGAGCCACAAATAGCTGGAGCTTCCAAGAATACACCTGGAAATTTTATTCTTCCCTAGATACCAGCTGTGGGCACAGGGACACAAGTTTCACTGTCAAAAATGTGTCTCCATCTCTTCCAGCTCTGCAGAGGGAGGGTGGTCTTGTCTCTGCTGTGAGGTCTTCTGCAAATGCTGGGCAGAGCTGGCCTCCCCTTCTTCTCCCTCCTGTATTGCCATCAACCAATTCTCAGCCCATCCCTTTGGAAAAATTAATTCCAGACTCCAATCAGTGCTGCTTCTGCCTGTCCCTCTTCTCTCTGCCCTTGCTAGGTGCTCCAGGGCTGTCTCCTCTTCCCGAGCCTGCATGTTGCAGTGGGATAGCTGGTCTCAGACCTTCTTCCAACTTCTTGCTGGCTCATGGTGAGGGCAAGGCAGGCGGAGGAGGTTGTTTTGCCTTCTTTCCATCGCAGCTTCACTGGCTGCTCTCCCCCGAGCTCTACAGCCACAAATACTGCAGTTTCTCCCTCAAACAGGGCCGGGAATCCAAGGAGCCCCCAGCCCCCGACACTAAAATCCTGCTGGTACCCAAAAGGACTTAGCCAAGCAAGTGTTCGCTCCAGCCTGCCTGACTGGCGGAGGCGGGAAACCACCCGGGGACAGTGCTTTGCGCCAGCCGGTTGCAGATGGCGGGTGACTGGGGGAGTCCCGGGCTGGCAGCCTGCGCGCGACTTCGGGCTCAGGGTAGCCTGCAGTCCCGGGCCTGCCTGCCGAGGGCCACAGCGGGCTTGCAGACTCTCGGCACCGCCGGAGGAAAACAGCTCCTTCCTCCGGGGTCCTCGCTAGCACGCGGGTTCCTGGAGCATCGCAAGGACCAAAGAGAGAGAACCCAAAGTCTGGGGCAAAGTCTGAGCTCTGTTACCTCCCTGAGGTGCCCAGGTATGAAAGAAAGGGGAGACCTGGCCCCGTGCACGGATTTCCTCCGTGTATTTTTACGACAACACATTTCACCGTGGGAAGGCTATCCCGCGCATTCGTAAGCCAAATGCCCCATGTGGGAACCGAAGCGCTGTGCCAGCCAACTGGCCACGGAGCTTGGCTTTCATCGTTGTCACATTTTCGTATTACCTCATGCACTTTGCAGAAGCCATCCCTGGCCATGTAGCCTCCGCCGGCAGAGCTGATCCGCAGGCCATGCCCTCGGTGACGCGGCCACGCTCCTCCGATGGAAATTTCCTGCGGGGCCGGGGGAAGGCGTCTGTGAGCACGACCGTGGTGAGTCCACCCTCCATAAAAGAGGGTCGCTCACCCTTTCCCTGCTGTTAAGTGTCGCTGGCGTCTGTTCTCGTTCGCTTGCTGAACTAATCTCTATTTTAAAGGCATGGAAATAATAGGGACGCAGAGACGGATGTGAAACCAGTGAGTCTGCGGTTTACCCAAAATCTGCCTGGGAAAGGTTTTTAACATAGATCCAAACATGAATTTTAACCAAACTAGCTATTCCAGCATAGCATGCCTTTAGAAGCCGTTACTCGAATGCAAGCGAGTCGTTATCTTAAGGGAAACAGAAAATTGTTTTTCCTAGAGAAGAGGATCCAACATATTGGGACCACACCTACACAACTAGAGCTACTCCAGGATAGTTTATAGCATGTTCCCCAGCAGACAAGGCCTGTCTAAATGACACGATAGTTGATTCTGCTCCTGGCTGAATAACTGAAACATCTCCACTGTTTTCGGATCATCTCTGAGAATAGAGAGAAGTTTAATAGGGTCATCCGTGCCACGCGGCTGTGAGAGGGAGCCTTCCCGTGGCGTACTGCCCAACTGACATGGACTCTCTTCAGTGCAAAGTTACTCCCCTCGAGCAGCAGTCATCAAAAGGTCATGTATTGCTTTCCAGTGGAGTCCATCCCACGGGGTCACCGCACTGTCACTGTTACAGCGATGGGGAGATGGAGAGACTGCGCCTATTCAGTGCTTTGTGAGCTGCCAGCGCTGGCAAATTGCTAATGCGTCAGAAGCACACTACACAATTTTCCCTTGGTCTTTATTTCTTTTGCCATCTAGCCGGAATCGTACAAAAGATGACACAGGTTTCTCCATCTCCAGAAAAAAAGCAAGTAGCTTTTTCTCTGGACACCAGGAAGTACAGTTGCAGCAGGGCTGTGCCCAGCTGAGAAGAGATCCTGTATCTAGCTGTAAAAGCAGCAGGATCTGGACTGCAGCTCCAGCACTGAGACTAGAAGCTCTGCACGTCCATACAGACTAGAGCCTGAGACCTCACTTAAGATACAGTTCGCCCAAATAACATATGAGCGACCATCCTGGGTCTGACCAAGTCCATCTAACCCAGCCCAGAACAGATGCCTACAGAAGAGCAAAGACCAGGGCAAGGACAGAGCCATCCATCCCTTGGCCATTTCCTATCAGTGTCCAGCAGATTTCTAAATGGCTGGTTGTGATTGTGCTTGGTAGGACAGATGGACTATTTTGAGCCTGATTATAGTTTTGGTCTCTGTGACCTCTTGAGGCAGCAAGTTCCCATCTCATCAAACACTGCAGGACTAGGATTGTCTTTGGTTGGCTTGAAACCTGCTTTCTGGCCATTTCGCTGGGCTCCCCCCGCCCCCCAGCTCTTGTAAGACTAGAAGCTATGAATAATTGTATCCCACTCACCATTTCCACACACTGATAATTTCATGGATCTCTCCATCCCCTCTTCTGTTTCAAGCCTGAACCTTACAGCTCATTCCCTGACACTTCCTGAATCACCAGCCAAGCTTAATGCTTCTTTGCACCTCTTAGCCAGACATCTCAGTGCATTTTACGCAGGGAACTATTAACAACCTGCCCCCAATGTGGGGAAGCACTGCTAGACACATTCAAAAGTGATTTGCCCAAAGTAATGCAGTGAGTCACTGCTGGAGCCAGGAATAGCACTCAAGGCAGGGCCCCCTTTTCAGCCCCTGCTCCCTTTCTCAAGCCCCACTTGGCCCCACAAACACGAACGTGGACGCTGCCGCTCATCCCGAACAGACCTGACCTTCCCTCAAGGCTCTGAGCAGCATGGGGCAGCAGGTAAAAGGTGCTGGGCCAGGGGTGGCAGGCCAGGCAGCAAGGCCTGGGAAAGGGTCTGCTGCTGCTTCCCACCTCCTGTGCTGCTTCCTCCTGCCTTCCCCAAGGTCTGTCCCTCCGCCGGAAGGCCACACAGCATCGCTCCGGTGGAGGGAAGCAAACCCTGCCCCACAAAGGCTTTCCACTGGTGGAGTAGGAAGGAGGATCCGTGAAGGGTCAACATTTGATGAACATGTTGCTCTCCCTGCATTCTTCACTTTTTTTTTTTTGGGGGGGGGGGGAAGCACATGGCTTGGTTTGAACCCTGTTCCACAGAAAATGCACGCTTCTCAGGACGGTGGCATTGCGCTTGGAGGCGACGATTTTGTCTCGAGTCTGCCTGTAAATTTTTTTATAAATTGATTTTGTAGTAGGCTCTGAAACCCAACAACCCCGTTCCAGATTGTCCAGATAAACTTTCCCCTCCGGCCAGACTGGATATGCTCAATTCCAGTGACGACACACTCAGCAAAACATTACCACTTTTCCAGGTTCGGCTCCAAATCAAAGTTCCCCTTGGGAATTTGGAAATCCCCAAGCAATTAAGCAGGAAAAGCAACAACCTCCACACTTTCTCCACCGCCCTCTCCCACGTGTGCAACTTCACTGGAAGCTTCACCCAAACCTGGCAGCTGGGGCAGCCCAGGGAGGAGCTGGGGCGAGGAGGCAGGCCGTGGTGGTGGAGAAACGCTACCGGCATCCTTCCGAGCTACTGCTCACATTCAGTCTGTTCCTAAAATATCCCCCTTTGATTAGTCCATGGGATCTGTGGCATCGACCTGCCCTCTCCCACCCTGCATGCATGCGTATCTCACCCCAGCCTGGGCAGAAGCCATGAACTCGGATGACTGAAAACCAGCACGGGAGCCGACTGCACTGTTTTCCTTCTCAGTTTGGCTGCTCGCTCGATCGCACGAGAAGACAGTGCAGCCAGCGCAGTCAGGGATCCACTTTGTGGCTTCAAATCAAAGCAAATGCAAAATGCCAGCAGAAACGGAAAGTATTGCAAAATCAGCCTCGGGAAGGAGGGGAGGGGGGAACAGCAAGCCCGGCACCTTTCACGCTTCTAGAAGGAACAAGAGCAACAAAAGGCATTCACAGGGAAAAAATAGCATAAGGCGAATAAGAGCCTGGGGAGATGTAAATCTGGAATAACAGCAGCCCACGTTGGGAGGAAAGCCAAAGCCGAAGCGCTCGGAGAGTGCATTGCTGCAGCGCAAGGGCCGGATCCTGAGCCGCGCTGAGCATCCTCCCGGCTGCGGGAGCTGAGGGGGCTCCGCGCCGCAACCGGGGGAGCGAGAGAGCCGTGTGCATGCGTGCACATTTGCACGCGCACGTGCACGCGTGTGCACGCATGTGCACGCACCGGCTTTTCTGCACATGGGTGCCCACGAGTGTGCGTGTGCGCGGGCAGGCGACCTACCAGGAAATACCGGTGTAGGTGTGTTTATGGGAAAGGTGTGATGGAAGGGGTGCCGGCGGGCTTGTGCAAGGGGTGCAGGCTGGGGGTGCAAGGCTGTGCATGCACACACACACACACACACACACACACACATCACACCCAGAGCAGTCCTGGCCCTGCCTGGCCGCAGGG